GCATAACATGCAGCAAGACTAAAATATCGTTCTGATAACCATTTGATCATTTGCGTGAGTCTTTACAAAAATCGAATACATCGAAATGTGTTTTATACTAATATGGCAAATTCATTTACGACGGTTGAGCTGAAAACATTACAAATTACCAGCATGATAAGCAACTCTCGATATTCCAACCTTAAAGCGTCCGATTAGAAAAGTACGGGCATGTTTAACAGGGAGAGTGCTACAGAGTGTAAAATCTTGAGCATCTAAGCTATCGGTGAAGGCTTGCCATGTGTTCTAAAAGAGTCAGCCAATAAAGCATAGGCAACAGGGATCGACAGAGCTCTCTGTGTTTCTTACACTATTCTCTGGAAGAAAAATACCGTTTGATTGCAAACTCAAATCGAAGGGTTAGAAGCAGAACCATTGCTATGCATTCGGTAAGTAGATTTGGTTAAGATTTGCTTATCATACTGTAAACCGCTGAGCAGAAAACGATTACAAACGGACCAGAACGACCACCACCAGAAGAGTCACATGTGGAACCTCCAAGAAGTGCATGACAATTGCACGAAAATCATCAAGTCATCACCTAAAATGATACCGATGCACTGGAACACACTAGCTCCCGGCATCAGCACACACGAAAGTTGCCTACGAGAGCATCGTGAGTTAAGAACGAGTCAAATTTCTAGTCTATCAAACTGAGACGTTCTCCGTCGCCCAGGTTCAAAGCGCCGAAACCGTTCTGCAGAACTCTCCATGACTCAAGAGCGTTGTCGTCTGACGTCAGTGACGAGTGGGGAAGAGTCTGGTAGGATTGCAACGTGCAAAATAAATACCTAATCAATGACCAAGCCTGTCTTCTGCTTGATACGAAACTAGGGTCACCTTTGAACAGAATCCGTATGAATTATTCTAAGAGCGAACACCATCTGCCAAAGTGGCGGTACAGAGAGAATGTGATCATTTGGCGAAGTTGCCTGTGAATAACATAGGCTGCATCTGTTATTGCCTTCATGATCAGAGAAACAAAGTGCGATTCCTTGAAGATCAGATTCTTCTGGTTTGTACTATTCTGAACAATCTGCTGCCACACATTACTCCAAAGATTCTATATTTCGACTGAGCCGCGGTTCATTCAGTTGAACTCCTAGTAGTCTATGATGAAGGAGATAATGCAAATTTGCTGAATACCCTGGCGAAATAGCACGTATATCTCATTCTGTACGGCAGTGTTGGTGCAAACAAACTTACCTGTGAAATACATAGGGAATCAATATGTATAGCTTGACCTGCAAAATATTTTCTCTTACTTCAGGGTAAAGTTTTCTTCTCTCATCTACATCGTGATTAACCTTGTTTATGTACTTTGTAAGTGATAACGTACTGAGTGTCATCGAACAACTGCTTATCATGTCAGCATTGCGAATCGCATCATTTGACCGCGAATCAATAAGTGCCTCGACAGAGATATAGCCTCATCTGGTGATTGTCAATAACTTATATGTTATAGTTCATATCGCTGAGGCAGTCTCAATTAGCGGTACGATGACTGGTGATGTGCGTTACTCTTCTGCTTGCTGTCATGAAGCAATCGACAGTCTATGCATTTACGAATCAGTTGCTTCTGAACTTGCCATGCTGGTGAGGGTGCGGGAGATAGTCTTTTATGTATAATTTTATTGGCATTTTAACTGTTCTTGCGAGACAGTACAGACAGAGAGATGAATCGGATGAAGTTCATTAAATAGATGTGCAAATCAGTCATTGTCTAAGCGGCTGCTGTATGGAAAGTTGGCAAAGCCATTAGCCATATTAAAAATGCCAATTTTCAGGTTTTTTCACATCGAAACGGATACTAGTGACGGAGAATGATGCATACTCTTCACAATTACACTAAATGAACTCAAGGAGACAATTTAATATAAAACCTGACTATTTTCTGACTACCGAAAAACTACTTATTATCCATTCATGCAAATGATTGAATAAGATCAGCTGAAATGTAGTTTAACTGCCATCCAAAAAAACTATTTTTTTAAGTTCCGGTTACTCAGACCGTTAAGCTGACGTCAGGTCAATGAAAAGCAAACTCGACGGTGGCCCAAAACTTCTACTGAAGAATAACACTGTGTGTCCAGCAGGTAAGCCTCGTTGTCATCACACTGCTGAGCATTCCTGGGTTTATGGTCAACGCCTGGATTGATTATGTCACTCTATCCGATCGGTCACTGCGTCCGTCCACCTACTACGTGCCATTTAATTTCTAATTTGTGCAGTGACGCAATTGAGAATGCGATCATGCTGTTTTACATCAGTGCGTCGTGGTACCACAACGCCATGCTGCTTAGCGATGTAGTGGACCAGGCCATCGGCGTGGTCATCAGCTTGGCCTACTTCGAGGGCCTGGACCACGTAATCGCTGTTTGCCTGAACATGTTTTGAACAGTGCGGCTCAGCTTCTCTTACCAACGGATGTATTGAGTGATAATCGGTCTTCTGGACAGCGTTTTGTTGTCTGTTGCATCCTGTTCTACAACTTACCGTTCTCTTACCAAAACACGGCATGTACACGGCGCGTCTGACGCATCCATCAAGTAGAGAACACTTGTGATTGACAAAATCTTGCTACCTATTTCGTAGCAGAGATCACAAATCCTTCGGTTACGCAATCATCTCAATGAAAAAGTCAGCGAGTTTCAATTCAATAAATACTAAATAAAGAAATCAATCAATAGCGATTTTTAGGTCAGATTAAATAGTCACTCCAGAATAAGTGGTAGAGGCGTCTAATAAGCTATTGCCATGAAAACACATTTTACAATGAAAAATATTACTCTCAATTAGAGGAACTATTGCGTCACACGAACGATTTGCAAATTGAGCATTCGAACTAGTGGCATATCCAAGAAACATAATGGTTACTGGCTGAAAGTATCTCTTTCGTATCACAAGAGTATCTGTTACCTCAAGTAATTCCAACCTTGCTATAAGTGCTGCACAAATACTGAGCACTGTTAAGCCCTGACCCCCTGGTCATCCCGCAGTAAGGGTTTATGATATTAACAGATTTTGAAAATTTGCTACGTACAAATTGATACTTCTTACAACCCACAACAAAGCTTCTACTAATTGAGATTCGAGCGGGAACCACTCAATTTAACATTCACTACATTTCAAACTGTAAGGATCACACGACCCTTTATGGCTGTTTGCTCTTCTTGGCAAGATGAAGTTGAAACTAACCTCCACTTACATACTATAATGCTATTCGTCATAGAGGGGTACCAAGAGCGTAGTAACGAACCGCACAGTGCTTTGAAAGTTTTAATAAAGATACATTACATTTTGTGACAAAATATAACCCCGATGTCCTGAGGGAAATTTCGATACCGCCGCTGAATACGTCACCTCAGATGAAATTGTTGCGAATGTGATGGCAAAGCGAAATTTCCAACATTCGTCCTTTCTCAGCTCTCCTGGTGACGCAACTGCTGGTCTTCGGTTTCTTGAGTGACTACGTCTCGCAACCATATAATACTGCCTGCAGGAAGATAGAACTAAAAAGGTGATGGGGAGTCCTTTATCCCGATGCTACTGAGGACATGTTGGATAAAATGTGACGCACATCAATCGAGCCCTTCACTCCCGCCTGTTAATTCCTTATCCCAGATAAATTTAATTATCGACTTCTAAGCCTTCGCTGTTTAATATTACCTGGCACTTCCGCAAGACATAAAATCACAGCATCTTCTCAACAGACTGAATGAGTTAAGATTGAGTGGTTTCATAAAATGTTTCTTATTATATATTCATTAACATATCGAATGATTCAATTTCAGAAAATAGATAAGAAAGCGTCGAAATGAACGCCGTTCTGTCCATTTTAGCGCTGTTTGTTAGTAATCGATAAAGTTCGCATACTCATTTGTCACACATGAGATTACAATAAGCAATTGCATTGCATGAAGAGAATGCAGTAATTTTCCGTAATTAGCATCCGTAAAGGAAGCCAAATACAACAAACGAAAGAAAGCGGATGCTCGTAATTTAGTTATCACAGAAAAGGTCGGTACATCTGGTAATGATGGCTTCAATGACGTAGCGCTTGACGGCAAAAAGCAAACAGGAAAGTGGAAGCGGTAAACGCCAAACTTTTAGTAACACACTGAAGAAAGCCACCAAAAGATCAAGAATTGGTTGTCTTTTCATTATTTAATGCGTTAATGAATTCTTCTAATTTCTCTTGAATAAGTCGTACTTTTTCTGAAACAAAAAGAACGATATAAATAAAAAAAAGAAATATGAAGCTAAAACATGAAAACAGAGTAGTACTTAATTCTTCAGCCAGCTCAACTCGATGACCAGCGATGAACTGACTTTTTACGATCGGATTTTCCGACCATTCAAGCAGCACTTCTTTAATCTCTTTTTCAAGTCGTCGTGCTGAAATTAAACAAGGCACAACATATTCTTTGGTTTTAGTGGTTTAAACCACCAGAGGCAAAATTAACCATACCTTCGGTGTTTGTAATCTGTTGCCTTAGTGCATTAGTCGTAATTTGCAGCATTTGCTTCACCCTCCAAAATAGAACCACTGAGCTGCAGTCAACCTATAATAAAACAGACAAATAAGTTAACCTTAAAATTAGCGCATACCAAACTCATAGCAGAGCCACAAGATTTAACTCTGCAAAATTAATCTAAGTAAATAAAACTTTAACGACCTTCGACTAAATTTCGTATAATGAGCATGTACATTTTTTATAAAACATTATGAACGTCAAAAGACAGGAGAAGGAATTCTAACAAAAGACTGTATCCTATATAAGCGCATGTATGCGGCGAATGAATAAGTTGACAAAAGGAGAGGAGCCTGTTAGAAAGACTGGGGGGCATAAACCATTTACGTCAGCCCATGAAATTCTCATGGGCCAGCTGAAATAAGGCAAATGTCGACCTGAATGCCCGGGTGCAATATGGAGAAAAAAGATATAGAGAGATCTGCGTTCAGAGAGAAATATTTCCGTTTAAGATGCGGTAACCGATGTCCCATAGCAAAAATGCTATAAAGCTCCAAATAAAACAGATATAACAAGTCACAGACGTTTTAATCATGCAAGCGTCCTGAAACCATGATCACATAAACAAACATAAAAGATTTTGTATCTATCAAGCAACTAACAAAAGGAATAC